CCCTAAGGTGTGGTGCGATCGGTTAGAGGGGGTTATGCGAAGGGTCCTGTCACGGCCTCTTTCCGGTATGTCGTGGTGGCATGTCGGCGCACGGGAACGTGTCGTGGGGCTGTGTCTTGTGGGTACAGCTGTACACCTCTGATCAGAGTAAAACTATTCGAATAGCCGTGCCCGCGGTTATGGGCGGTCGACCAGATTCACCGTGATTAGTTTCACCCTAGTTAGCTTTTGGAACTGGTTAGTTCAGGTGGTGGTTTGGGCCTGTTGCAACGTGGTGTAACGTTGGACAGTGATTGGTTAATATGGATTAATTACTACAACTGTTTTACTGCTTTCAACTACTGCTTTGAAATGCCGGCTTTATGCAAAAGAACCTTTAGCCTCCCTTGGATATATCTTGCATCATACCTCCTCTTCCGGTGTGACTTGCTGAGTACAGTGGGTAGTACTCAGTCTTGCTCTCTTTTCCCCCACACCAGAGTTGAAGTCCTTCCCAGTTGAAGATGTCTCGAAGAGGTTGGTTTCGTCGCTGCCGTCAAGGATTGCCTGTGGAATGGAGTCGCCCGCTGCAGGAGTCAAGTCTTCAGGCTTAGCTCGCTTTTATCTTTTTCCGCTGCATTTGTAATCTTTTATATTTTTGTAAGACGTGGATCTGTATGTCAACAATTGTCGTTTGTGTACCCTGGCTGGTCCTGGACAGGGGTTTAATGCACATTCAGCTTAGAAATTCTGGTTCGTGAATTTCTGGGCGTGACAACAGGATAACAAAGGATGGCATAGTAGGGTTTCATTTGCAAAAGCAGCATTTAGCAAACATTTGAGAATTTAATAAAACAGTTAAGTAATTAAACAATATTAATCCAACGCTATACAACATACCCTGTTGCATAGGCCCAACCATTCTGAACAACCATCCCGGCTGCACAGTTCTATCTCCAAACCAGGAATATACCATTCCAAACCAGGAGCTAATCAAATTATTACCAGTTATAGCATCTTCTATTGTGGTGAGAAGGGTGAGACTAATCACGAAAGACATTGTTAGACCCGCCCATAACCGCGGGCACGGCTATTCGAATAGTTTTACTCTGATCAGAGGTGTACCACTGTACCCACAAGACACAACCCCACATCATGTCACCATGTGCCTCAATACCACCACGGTACCTCGGAAAGGAGTTGTGACAATACCCCTTGCATAACACAATCCACTGCAGCGCACCTTCCTAGATCATAATCACCCCCTTATAAACAAGGCATGGACTCCCCAGCGACCCCCGTGGGCTTATCTCCGCCACTTCTCAGTCTGGTGCCCCGCAATGAACCATGCTACACAAAAGATAAAGCCGTTGCCCATGCTGGCTTGTGGTTGGCACGGTTAATGTTTCACAACCGAAACTCGTGAACCGGTCCTTAATTGTCATGAGCACAACCATCAAAACCATGTGCTCACAACCCACCATTACCAGGTTTTAGTTGGCACATTAATTAATTAACCAGTCACGATTGACCATCGTGAACTATCATTAAACCATCATTAAATAACAGTGAGTCATAAGTTATCCCAATAGTGAGCTAATGTTTCTAAGCAGGGCTAAGCAATTATATCTAATATCTAGTTGAACCAATATATAAAGCTCAACTAGTCAAGTTATAATAACCCAAGGTATCAAGGAATAAAGTAATCAAGAACAAAAGGGCTATAACAAACAATAGGTTAATTCCACCCAATGACATTCGAAAATAAATGCAATATTTGAATAGAAACAATAGCTTTAAATAGGATCAACATGCTCAAAGGGTTGTTTGGGATCTGTGTGACTTGCCTTGCTGGCCTTGGAACTCTTCAAACTCTTCTCCGGCGAAAACGGACTCTCCGGAAACGACGGAATCTAAACAGAAAAGAGCAAAAACACCAAAACAGCACATAAACAAGCATGAACAGTACATGTGGATATTTTTAACATGTAGATCTCAATTTTAGAAAAAATTAGAGACTTGAACCAACTAAATCGGAGCTAAGATGAATTAGATATGAATTTTTGAAGATTTAATCGGATTAAAACACTTATATTGATTTTAATTGAATTATGACGCAATAATGAATTATTTTTGAAAAGGAAAAGGGGATTTATTGCGTCAGCAGGCTAGGGTTTGCGGTGGACCGGGCGCACGGCGGCGGTTCACACGAACGGACGGCCGAGATCGACTTGATCCAAAACGGACGGCCGAGATCGATCGGTCCACGACCGGTCTACGACGAACGGCCCCGATGACGTCAGCGGTGACGTCACCACCGGCGGCGGCGGCTCGGCGGCTCGGACGGCGCACGCTCGCCGGCGAACGGCGGCACTACGGCACGAACGGAGGGCACCAACGGGTAGCGGACGGCACGACGGACTCACCGGCGACCAAAGCGACGGCGGAAGATCAACGGACGGCGACGGCGACGAGGAGGAAGCGGCGAAGCTCTTCGGGTCGACGGCGGCGACGATGCTCCGGCGGTCTCCGACGGTGGCGAAGCGGCGGACGAGGACGGCGACGACTTGGCGACCACGATGACGTCCTTCCCGAGCGACGGCGACGTCTGGAACGGCGGCAGCGCACGGCTGGAGCGACGGCGGCGACGGCGGCGCTAGGGCACACGGCGCTAGGGCATTTCCGACGACGAGAGGCGAAGGCAAGGGTGGCGGCGGGTAGAGAAGAGCTCGGGGTCCTTTTAAAGGGGCTCGGAGGCGGCGACGAAGGCCCACGGCGGCCGGCGACGAGGAGGAAACTTCGTGGCTTGAAGGAAAGAGGCCGATCCGAATCGAACTCGATTCCACGAACTTCCAAAACGATTTAGCCGATGTTTCCAAAGGAGAAAAGGTAGAGGAGATCCCGAGGATCATTTCCCCTCTATCAATTCGGCCGGAGAAGGAAAGGGGCGGCCGGATTTGGAAAGGAACGGCGGCGGCGCGGCGCTAGGGTTTCGGGCGGCGGCTGCGCGAGGAAGACGACGACTGACAAGCGGGACCCACCTGTCAGCGGCAGCGAGGGCGCGCGCGGGCGGCTCGGTTGCGGACTGGGCCGACTTGGGCCGGGGAGAGAGAGAGAGAAGGTTTTGGGCCGACTTTCGGCCCAAAGCCAAAAGAAGACTTTTTAAAACCTTTTTCAATTTAGATTATTTCTTAAATGCAATTCCATTTATTAAAAATACTTCCTTAGCTCAAATAAATCCCAGAAAAATCTAGGAATTATAGAATTAAGCAAAGTATTTAATGAAATTTTATCTGGCCCCATTTTATATTGGAATTTATTAATTAAAATTAGATCTTCTTTTCTAGGCTTTTAAAAATAAATTCTAAAAATTCCATTTAAACAATAATTTACATATTTTGAATTCTCAGGGTGTGACACCTAATATTTTTCTTCAATATTATTAATTAAATTTTTATTTTTACAAAATTTTATCATCAAATTATATATTATCCTATACTTGGTCGAGCTCGCGAGCCTGCTTAAAAGCTCGAAGGAGGATTAGGCTCAATTCGGGCTCGGCTCCAGCTTTTGTCGAGCTCGAGCCTAGACGTGAAAGCTCACTTGAGCTCGGCTTGTTGACAACCTACTTCCAATCTTCTCCTTTCTTTCACCTCCCATATCCATCTCTCTCTCTCTCTATCTCTCTATCTCATACACACCCAACATGACCTAGAGGAGGTGACAGGCGTCATGAGGTGGCGGACAAGATGATGGGTGGGCCTCACTGGCTCACTGCCACCTAGGATTAAAAATTGGATTATATTGTCACGTTCTATGCCACGTAAGATCAAAACCAAATTTGTACTGGGGGTTATTCATCCAGTCCAAAAAAGTTGAGTGTTAAATGTTCTGTTTTGTAGTTTAGGGGAGTAATTCAAACTGTCGTAATAGTCCGGAGGTAATTTGGACTTTAACCTGTAAAGGAAAACATTAAAATAACATTTGTAAATTCAGCTGATATGATATGTAAGTTCATAGTAATTTTGATAAAAATAATATGCAAGTAAATATGTTTTTGTTATTTTCTTTTATAGTACCTTGGGTGTAAATCTAAGGGTAGAAAAAATCTGTATGTTTTTTTTTAGAAATCACCAATATATAGATAGATAGTTCCAGAAATATTAGTTGACTAATGAATAGTGAGCCTTTTGTGAAGGTGTGATGGTGGTTGTACAGGATGGCTTCTCTTTCACGGGGGCAAGGAGCGGTTCTTCTCTCAACTTTCCCAGTCTCCCATATCTTGTTTTTCGTGTACAAGCCTCCAAAACTATCAGTAGACGGTACCATTTTTTGCGAAAATTTTCTCTAGAAAAGTTGCTTTAAAAAAACAATATTAATTTATTTTAAAGTTTTTATTTAACTAATACTTAATTAAAATTAATTATGTACTAATTCTTTGTTTGGTTTTCCGTGTTAGTAGGCAAGGCTCGCTCTCGAATTCAGGCCAGCCTAAGGTTGGGTATGGAAAATACTCTACAAAACCATATCGATCACTGTCTAAACCCACGTCATTGATACAATCTAAAATCAGTTATTAGTTTTATAAAAAAAACATAAACAGTGGTATAGACCGGTGCTATTTGTATAATATATTCACGCCATACATAGATGAGTGTAATATGTTACATGTTTACTATAAGGGGAAATCTCGTTCTTACCCCTATTTTTATATCGGTTCACTCCTGTTTTTTCAAACAAAACTAAGTTTTGCCCCTATTTTAAATAGACATGTTAACAATATTAAATTTTTGGCGAAAAGACATTCATACTCTCAATTTCCCCTAATTTATTTATTAGTTATGTATTTGCCCCTATTTTGTAGCTGCATCTAGCAATTTAACTTTTACAAATATGACAATTTGACATAATATCGAAAAATTATTATTTCAAAATTTGATATAATTTATTATAAATCCAGACATACGTTTAGATTTGTAGTATTAGAATATGTCATACGAGTTTGGTGTAGTTTTCGACGGGGAGTGTTTGATGGGAGCGAGGACCGTACACTCGAATCTGAGAGCCAAACTATCCCACCCCCAACCCGGTAAGCTCTGCTCTGTTCACCTCGTCGGCCGGCGCCGCCGCGTGTTTGCTGCTTGCTTCCCGTCCCCTCGTCGGAGAGGATGCTGGCGACGGCGGCGCGGTGGGCGGCGAAGAAGGGGAAGCCGAAGATGGCGCCGATCGAGCTCCCGGCGCCGCCGGAGCAGGCGCAGTCCATCACGCGCACCATCTTCGACGTCGTCAGGGAGCACGGCCCGCTCACCATCTCCGACGTCTGGGACCACGTCAAGGTTCGTCACGCCCTCATGCTACCCGTCTCGATCGCCGCCGCCGCATCCTTGCTGCTGCTCCTTCTCCCTGTCCGCCGCGCCCACCCCTCACCTCGCAAACCGTTCGCCCTCGCCCCCCCGGTGGCGCGCGCCACCTGTTCGACGTAATGTCTCACAGTGTCAAAATGAACCAGCAGTGCTTGACAGATGGAAACTGTCATCCCTGAACGATCTTGTGTTCCTCTGATTGCCACCCTGATCGCATGCATCCCTGACGAGCGAGAAAATCTTTGGCATTTTCGTGTCCAGGACGTTGGGCTGAGGGGCCTGACGAGCAAGAGGCAGATGAAGATCATGATGCGGTGGATGCGGGAGAAGCAGAAGCTCCGCCTCATCTGCGACCACGACGGGCCGCACAAGCAGTTCCTCTACACCACCTGGTTCACCAATCCCAAGAACGCGCCGCAGAGGCCCAAGAGAGATCATCATCGGCAGCAGCAGCAGCAGCAGCAGTTCAGGGGAGAGCCTCGCAAACCATGAAGGACGGGACGGCAAGAACAATGAAGCTGATGAATGCAAAGCTTGCCATCTGCCGTCCAGTGAGATTCTTCAGCACTTGTGCTTCTCTGTGTCCTTCTGCTTGAGTGCTCTCGTTTGGGCGACCAATGCATAGTTTATTGGGATCTTCGAACACAATAATTTTGCAGAATTTTCACCGGATAACAGGACTTAGTTCAAATCTTCCAAAAATCCTGTAAAATTTCCTCAGGGGCCAGGTGACTAGTACCGCTTTTGCTAGGCAGGATCTTTTCTGTAGTTTGCTTGGGGAAAGAATTTCAGCACATGTTTTTGTACCCTCGTAACCTCGCCCTTAAAAGGTATAGTAACTTTGTAACAGTGATGTAGAACTAGATAGTACAGCATCCTTCTGAATCTTCTTAGTTTCTCTTCAATAGGTCATACGACTTGTTTTCTTTTAGAACATGAAAGCGCTAAGCATATTCAGCAAACTCCCCGAGCTTTAATCAACACCCAGTAATCAGTTCGTATTTCGTCGTAGTATCAGAGCCAAATTGAATGATTCTGCTCTCATGTGCTTTAGTGTATCACATGTACATAAACAAAAAAAAAAACATCTTCACACTTGCAAGATAATTCATTGTGGCCATATCTACCATACCTACCAGATCTAGTGGCCTCTGTGTACTTTGTTCTTTGTAGTTATCATGTTAAAAACGAAAAAAAAAAGAGAGGATGAATCGTTATTCCAATCTTCAATGTTGATAGCGATCATGCTGTCCAAGACTGTTCAGTATCATGGTTTAGCTTCCTGATTTCCCATGTCACATTCCTCTGTAACACAAGAGTGATAAATCAAGTACATAAAATTCCAGTTGCTTAAGCATATGAAGTTTCATTTCGTCGTATTGATATAAACAGCATGTAAACTAACCAGTTCTCTCTTCAATTCATCAATGGACTTTTTCCTCTCCTGAGCGAAGTATTTCATTGACTGCAAAACGAATGAGGAAATGAGATACCCAGACAGCCAGAAAATTGGAAATTAAGGGGAGAAGGGAGAATTATATGTCAATTCATACCCCTCGTCGCTGAACCTCAATTGATCTTTGTAATGCTTCTCTTTTTGTCAGGAGATTACTGGGTGCTGATTTTGTTGGCCGACGATAATTCTTTCCTCGGTAAAGTATTATGGCATGGCTGGTAGTGAACCTCTCTATTGCTATTAATGTGCCTCCTGTCTCAACCTCAAGCATCATAGATGTGTACGTGATCTGGCTGGCTTGGTTCTGCTTGGTAATTACTTTCACAACCTCTTTATGTTTCCAGTGTTGATGAATCTCTTCAATTACGCCTTCAAAGACACCACGTCTCCCTGCAAGGGAAAACCATGGATGAATACCTTTCATCATAGGATGGTAAATAGCTTTTCTTGGTTTCAAGGATAGAGACACATATAGGCATGGAATATTGCAGTTTGATACAAAAGGCTATACCAAGCAGCACATGTTCATCCATTTTTAGGCCAATTTTTCGGAATATCCTCCTTTCCTCCTCTGTCAAGAGTTCTCTGTCTCCATCTTTCTTTGAAGGGCTCCAAGAACTATGAAGCTTTGCCAGCACTTGGTTTGATCTTTCAATCTTCTTGGTAAGCTGCAGTACGTACCATTTTTACATTACCATTGGAAGTTCGGGAATTCAAAAGAAGGTACAAGACGAGTTAGATCAAAGCATACCATGGAAAGTCTCCATTCCTGGTCTTTCAGTTCCTTTTCCAATCGATGCTTCTTTGCCTCTAGTTGAATTCTGAAGTTGTTTTCAGTTGTTCTACGTGCATGGCTATCATGGAAATCCTGATACTCTCTGAAAGTTCCCACATAACTTCTCTCCGATGATAGTCCAACAATCATTTGAAGTGAGTCAGCCATCTTTAATCGAGCCTCCTCTTCTTTCGCCTGCTGGTCATGTACCTGAGACTCCCGTTCAATAACTGATTCAGCAACGCCACCGGGAAGAAAATCTTTGCCTCTATATATAATAATATAATCCTTGTTCCTCAATATGACAGTTCCTCCTGTAAGACGCTGCACTGAGAAGATTCAGTGTCACAGATGAAGATTGAACATATGGATATCAAAGAAATCCTAATGACTCTAATATATTTCATGAGAACAATACACACCTTAAGATTTCTGGCCATCTGTTCATGATTGGTATTTTGGATACCCACTTTCACTGCAACCTTCGCTATAAGGCTCTTTTCCCAAAGCTTTAGTATAGCAGCAGCCAAACCCTGCAGTTTTGTATTTCTACCTGCCAGAAATTAGTCAAGATTATAGTTGGGCTACATATATAAACATCTTATGATGGGTTACTTATGAATATACAATAATGCTTGTGGAACTTTAAGGAAATAGGTTATGTGTGCATAAGATGTTACAATAGATAGTAGTGACAATCAACACTTAAATCATCCTATAAAGCATATTCATTTGAAACTATCAATAAAGTGACTGACAAGTGCAGAATATGGGGACTAATAGCAAACTCACCTAGGACAAAATGTGTTGGCAAAGGCCGTGCATGCTTCCGCAGGTAGGTCAGCTCCTCATCTGCTAGTGCTGGTCTCACACCAGGAGGGCATTGTCTAAATGGAGTCTTGAAGTCAGGGACAACCTCAGGAAGGAGATCAGCATCAACAGGCAATGGTGTGTTCCACCACCAATCGATAAATCGAGGGCCCAAACTGTCCAGTAGTCTGTTGACTTCTCTTTCATATAGTGTTCCCTTGATAGGTTTGTCGTCCTTATCATCAGCTTCATCATTATCATTGGTTAAAGTTTCATCTTTACTCCAATATTTCCCTTGGGATGTAGGATTGTTAGATGTTACTGGGGAAAGTTCCTCATTATAATTAACAAAGTCACGATGCCGCTTTGCGTTTTCTAGGTAACTGCTTCCTCTGTACACAAAATGTATGCCCCCTCTTGTCCAAACAACTAAGCCTCCTGTTTTAATCTAATGAAAAGAGAATTAAAAAAATAAATATCAAAGGTTTTGAATTGATAATAATGATTTGGACTTAAATAATTCAAGGTAAAGAGGGTGTCGTTAAAATAGTTTCTCTGTTTAACCATAGTTTAACTAAGCCAAACATAATTCATCAGCTAAGCCAACCTAACAATTTCAGCCAATAAAAATCTTGAATCAAGCACCAGCAGTCCACCAACGGGTGTAGCACCACCTGCATCAATTCAATCATTTTATCTGCCAGAAAATGCTGGTCACATTTGCAACTTCCTAGCAGAATTGTGGTTCATGATGCCAAAAATGAACCCACCCTAGCTACATTGCTCTACATTTTTTTTTGAAGAAAGAGAGACAAGATCGTCCCCCTTTCCATTTTCGAAACTAAGTTACTTAGCTACATTGCTGTACATGAAGCTAAAGATGAACTCCAAAGTTTCACAAAGATGCAACAAATGCTTTTGCATCACCACAACAAGAAGCTCATCGTCCAGGAAATCAAGTAGCAGCAGATAGCAATGTGAAGCAATCACCTCAAGAATCTCCCTTGCCCGGTCCATGCATCGCCGGAGCGGCTCCACGATCCTCACGCCGGCGAGCTCCTGGCCCTTCGCCCACTGCCCCCGCACCTCCTCCACCACCTCGTCGGTGATCCCGGCCTTCTTGGCCCGCGCCCACCGCTCCTTCCCCCGCGCCGCCCGCCGCAGCCGCTCCAGCTCGCCGGCCTCCAGCTCCGTCTCCGCGCGCGTCGGCACCCGCGTCTTCTTCTCCCGCCGCAGCACCACCTTGGTCTCCTCGTCCCTCGCCGCGGCCCACGGCACCGCCCTGCGAATCCCCTTCTTCTCCTCCTCCTCCTCCCGCTCCGGCGGCGGCGGATGTATCGGGAGGTGGAAGGGGACGCGCGCGGTCGCGGTGCTACTGCTACTACTACCACCACCACCATTGGGGCTGGGTGTGCGCGGGTCGGAGAGCTCGAGGGAGCGGACCTTGCGGATGATTCCGAGGACCGCGCGGCGGGTGCGGCCGCCGGGGACGCCGGCGGTGAGGGGCTTGGCGGAGCCGGGGTTTCTTGGCGCCGGTCTGGGCCCACGGTGCTGCTTCGGAGCCGGAGGGGCCTCGGTGGCGGGGTCCGGCGGGGAGACGGACGTCGAGGGGACATGCGGGCCGTGGAGCCACGGCGGCGGGGTCGGCGACGGCGGCCGCGGGGACGGGGAGAAGAGGTGCAGGGGAGGTGGCGCCATGGCGAGGCGAGGAGTTGGGGAGAGGAGACGGAGAATGAGAGGCGGATGTCCGTTTGGAGTGTGGGATATTTTTTTTTCTGGGCCCATCTGTCCGTGTTCAGCCCGTATATTGCAATGGAATAAGTTCATTTCAGGTACCTCAAGTTGTCGCCGAGTCTGAACTTCGCAATACTAGATAAAACATGTCTCCTCAGCTTCCAAAACCAATACAAATAAGGTCTCAACATAGTTTGAACGACGGTTTTGGCTGACATAGCACTTACGTGGCGCTGACAGGGCACTTCAAGTTAGATAAAAAGTGGGACCCACGTGTTAGTGAGTAACCCACATGTTGGGACACGGTGTGGAGCTGACGGTGCACTGGCTAGTAGTGAGCACGCAGAAAGGCACAATGGCAGGCGGCCGGCTGGCAAACGCGGTGTTGCACCGGACGAGCGCACGGTGGGGGACGACATGCCTCGAGACGAAGATGGTCGGGCGTGGGGAGAGGAAGCTGAGGGTGAGGACAGGCGGGCTCGAGGTTTGACCGCGCACGCGCGAGCCAAAGCAGTATACCTATGACGGACACAGCGGGCGCCACTAGAAGCAACAGAAGACCAGCTGCCCCCGCGTTGTCGCCGCTCTTGTCCACATCCAACTTCATGATGGAAAGCCCCAGGAGAATGGTCGTGGAAGTGAAAAAGGGGAGCAGCGGGAGAGAGTAGGTGAAGCAAACAGAATGAGCGAGACCATGGTGGCTCCTTCCATCTGAAGCAAGCAGAGCGAGATTTGGAAGACGGCCATGGCGTGCCTCCCCGTCCCCACCATGCTCCTCCGCTCCCTCTTCTTCTTCCTCCTGCGCCCCACCTCCCTGCTGCTCCTCTTCCCACAGCAGCAAATTGCCGATCGTGGCCTCAGGGTCTACGTTGAGAAACTCGCTCGCGCACCCAACTAAGGCCTCCTTGACCTCTACTGGTCGCATCCGTGCCCGCGCGCTCAACTACGACCCCGACATCTACTGGAGGGACACATATGTGGTGTCCGTGCCCTTCTTTGCGATGTTGTCCGCAGAGATGACGCTTGGATGGGCTGCCAAGGGTGCGTTTGCCACAAGCAACCTCTACTCGTTCACCACCGGTGACGGTTAGTGTACAAACTCGCTCGGTTCCTCCATGTACTGCGTGGACAAGGAGTGTGGATGAAGGATGGACGAGTCACTGTCACCAGGATATGAGCGCGTCACGGGAGTGGATGCTGTCGAGGAGCGGGTCAAGGAGGAGGAACCCAACGCCGAAGAGCGCGACGGCGATGGCCGGTCAGGCGCACCCCAGGGGCGTGCCACTGTCGCCTCCGACGCTCCAAAGAGCGCACGCGGGTTTGGGCGCACGGTTGGGTAGGATGAGAGAGGAGGAAGAGTGATAAAAGGGAAAGATATGGGTTGATAGCGTGGGTCCCACTGTATTGTTTTTATTTTTAACCGGATGATACGTGGGTCCAACGGTTTCTTTTTGCTTGAAGTGCCATATCAACACCACATAAGTGTCACGTCAGCCGAAACCGCCATCCAAACTGCCTTAGATCCTTATTTATACTGTTTTGAGAGTTGCGGGACGTGCCATATCTGGTATTGCGAAACAGGGACGAAATTTAGACTAGCTGACAAATTAAGGGACCTAAAGTGAACTTATTCCTATTGCAATTTCCAGCCCATACGGGCATGCTTCTATCCATCCCGGCCCATCCTGGCCTGGATTATAGAACATATTTTTATTTAGCAAAGTTCAGGTATTCTGAACTTCTGGTGACAGGAGTTTTGAAGTTATATTTACTTAAAATTTTAGAGTATTGAGTGTAAAATATATTTTTGATTTCTTTATTAGGTTATTTATTTTAACTCTTCACTACTTCAAAACCTAGTATTGTTTCCGACACACTAAAATTAATTGAGATTTCAACAAGACTGATGTAACACTTGAACCACAAAACTAAAACATGCAATTATATGTATTACAAGCTATAATACATGCGATTTTTTTAATTTTTTACCATAAAGCATGGGATTTGATAAATTTTTTAAAATAAAAATGGAGCTTTTGTCATGGGTTTTACTTTACTTTTTTTTTAAAAAAAAAGATAGAAGAATGGAACTTTTGTACGTTCAGTTTCTTTTGGTCTGCTAACCGAGAAAGAGAGGGAGATTTGTTAATTTGGTTCTTCTTTTCTACTTGTAGACTTAAATTAGCTCTATCTACATATATACTTGACCTTGACCTTGACTGCCGGTACAAAGTCAAGCTGCATTAAGTTAGGGCTAAAGTAGAGGATCGGGCACATGAAAAACAGCTGAACTGATATTGCTACTGGCTAGCTTGGGACGGAACGGTATCGATCAAAATCAGTTGCAAAATCTTGTAGGAGATTTATTACTGTATGGTTCCACAAGTTCAAATTAACATGTGTTGACCTGTCTCGAAATAAATTAACATATGTAATTCTAGTTGTTTCAGGTCTAAGAGAAAGTTTAATAGTATAGCCAACTAATAGCTCCAATTCATATATAGCCAATCTAATAGCTCATTCATACAATAGTTACATATTACACTATTAATATCTGGTCCCACCTGTCATACACACATTACGTCTTGGAGCCCGTGCTACACCTGGCTACAAATCTGTATCCCGCTGCTCTTCTCTCTCCTTATTTATCTTCTTAAAATATGTTTGCAGCTGGCTTATAGCTTGCTATTGTACCTGCTCTTAAAAGAACAAATCTTTCTATCAGGGTGGGTGGGGCCGTGGCTAGGATTTGATCATGCCATCATTCGCTGATGAAAACTAGGAACATGAACGTCAGGTACTCCCTTTATTTTAAATTGTAAGGGATTTTAGGTGGATGTAACTTATAATAGATTTAGAGTAGTAAGTATACCTGAATGCTTGCTCGATTTGATGTATTTTGTTTGCTAATCAATTAACAGTCGCTGTCTGATGTCATACTCATACACTGTTTAGTTGACCGGCGATCAACGCACTTTAATTTAAATGGTGGCGTGGTCTACTCAAGTCTCTCCAAATTAAGGAGATGTCATGCCAAAGTGTAACTTTTGAGATGTAGAAAAAAACGCTAGTACCAGTAGTTGCTTTCGTTAGAGATTGAGGAATGCAGAAAAGTGGTGGAAGCTTAGCTTTGGTCGGTAGATACTGACCATGCGGCGTTCTTCGTCGGTCCGTCCAGTCGCCTGTCAACTAGCTGGTTAATAACAACGAAATTGCATATCTGATAAAATTAACCGTTCGAAGCGACCACGATTGAAAGAAGGTTAAGCAGAAATTAAAAAAAAACACTATTTCCTACCTTTCATTTCCAATTACTTATCGTCCATTCTAGGTTTGTCGTAAGTTAAATATTTTAATATGTAAATACCAATTTCTATATAGATTTAATATCATAAGATTTATATTTTTATTTATAGATTCACCACTAGAAATATTTTCTTAGTATATAATTGATATGCTGTTAAACTACACGAATTTTCAAAAATTAATGTTCACATATTTTATTTATGATAAACCTACAACAAATGGTGAGTAATTTGAAATGGAGAAAGTCTTTTTCTTATTTATTAGCTACCTAATTAAATTTGTACACGAATAGTTTCAACTTGCACGGAGATTTTTATGGATATAAAAAAAAGTGAAATTAATGAGAGATGATTGTGATTGGTTGAGGTGGAAAAGTAAATTGAGAAATTAAATAAGAGACTATTGTGATTAGTGGAGATAAGGGCCGGGAGTATGTGAAGAAGTAGTTTTTTTAAATCAAAATTCGAACTTTAATGTAACTTTTCTATTCAACTTAATTTGAGTATATTTACATTTCCATAGGATAACACGCATACCGATCTAGAATTTTGTCAGCTCTCGGCGAACTTCTGCTATTGCTTTTCTCGAAGGAAAACTTAAGCTATATATTATTTTTGTTTATCTATGATATTATTCAACCTAGCTAAGATTGATACATCACGTTAATGATATTGGCATTATGGCTGTGTTTAGATTCAGGGGTGAACATTTTTACCATGCCACAGCGGATATACGGACACACATTTGAAGTATTAAACATAGTCTATTAACAAAACAAATTACAGATTCCGCCTGTAAACTGTGAGATAAATTTATTAAGCCTAATTAATCCGTCATTAGCAAATATTAACTGTAGCACAACATTATTAAATCATGGAGCAATTAGACCTAAAAGATTAGTCTCGCAATTTACACGCAATCTGTGTAATTAGTTTTTTTGTTTGTCTATATTTAATATTTTATACATGTGTCCAAACAGTCGATATGATAGGAGGAAAAAACTTGCCAGGGATTAAAAAGGCCCTATCTCCAAAATCCAAATGTGACCGAGAAAGGCCAGAATGTTCGTGGAAGTGCGTACAGTAGTACTCCTACTACACCACTACTACTATACTAGTATGTTGCCTAGGTTTTGCACTACGTATATCTCGTCCCAGAGTGGTTAGTTTGACAGAAGGGCCCTGGAAGTTAACCTACGACCATGCCGTCGTCTGTGGTGGTCGTGGTCTAGTCATGAAACCGTCGCCGCATGTAACATGAACACGGCGGACCGACCGACCGAGTCTTCACGCTCGGTCGCATCCATGCTACACGTATACGTATTTGCTCCGTCATGCCCAAGAAGCTGCATCCATGCTCCTGGCCGGACTCACACGTACTAGCTAGTAACGCGTTTCTGCCAGCACCTTTCTTGACTGATTAGTGCTTATACCATGCATCCCGCTCCCAGTCGTCATTGCTATATGGAGTATTTAATTTGGTAATAAAAAGTTTCAAAGGCTGTGTTCGGCACCCCGGCATGCAAAACAGAGCACACGTTATTGCACGATTAATTATGTATTAACTAACTTATTTTTTAAAAATGATTAATATGGTTTTTTAAAATAACTTTCGTATAGAAATTTTTGCAAAAAAACACATCATTTAGCAGCTTGAAAAGCGTGCGTGCTGAAAACGAGAGATGTGAGTTGGAAAAATTGGGATAAGAACTCAGCCGAAGAAAGTTTCGTTGTCTACAAAATACATACCCAAAGTAAAGTTTTGTCGTTGTAGACATATAAAATTGGGAATTCATACCACGATATAGACATTTATATGCCACAGGTTCTTACAATGCATGCATCAAAATACATACAATTTGCGCCAATCAGGTGCTGGCAAGGAGGAATTTAAGCAATTCTATTTTCTTTTAACTAAAAAATTTCGGAAAATCTCGTGTTTTTATGGTTAAAGTTGTAGAAAACCAATGCTTATATGATGTATGACACATAATGTCTCAATGTTGTATAAAACCCCACCTTAATTAAAATCTTGATAAATGTCAGCATATTTTAAACAAAATTTTGAAAATAGGAAAGAATTAAACTATCAACCTTAGTAAAGAACTTCACCATTAAAAATTTTATATATTAATTTTGTGCTCAAAATGCTTAAGGTGGCATTTTGTAAAACTTTCAAACCATAATATTTGGGGTTAAGTGGCTCATGTAATAATACCTATGATTTCTTTTTTGCAATTTTGACCATAAAACCTAGGTATGCTTAAATTTACTCTTTTTTATAAAAAAATTAACCATTTAGATGACTGAAATGATTTTTTTAATCTTAGTGTTTGCTAAATAAATAAAAAAACTTATAATGGAATGGATATGCTACCTCTATCCCAAAATATATACTCCCTCATTCCCTAAATGTTTAACACCGTTAACTTTGTTAAATATGTTTGACCATTCGTCTTATTCAAAAACTTTTGTGAAATATGTAAAACCATATGTATACATAAAAATATATTTAATAATGAATCAAATGATAGAAAAAAGAATTAATAATTACTTAAACTTTTTGAATAAGACGAACAGTCAAACATGTTTAAAAAAAGTCAACGGCGTGAAACATTTAGAGATGGAGGGAGTAGTAATTTTTACAAAGAATATAGACATATTCAGATTCATAAGTAAAAAAGCTTATATTCTGCTCTCTCCAGTTCAAGTTAAAAGTCGTTTTGATTTTTTTTCAAAATTAACCTGTTCCAAGTTTGACTAATCTTGTAGAAAAAAATAGCAACCTTTTCAACTTAAAATAAATATATTATGAAAATATATTCAATTATAGTTTTTAATGAAACTAATTTGGTGTTATAAAAATGGAGTAGAACCAAGGAGTATATATAACGTAAATGGTAAATATAACTGCTGCAAAAGCTGCAGCTACTTCCTCTCGCGAGCCGCACATGCAGGCTACTACTACTAGTAGTACGCGAGAAATTGGGATGCATATGCGACGGCGAGGCATAGCTTCCAGCTACCTTCCTGCGGCCTCCCCGGAACATTCTCCTGTCTCTCATCCATCCACAGTCTTTCTGTCGACTGCAGGAGAAAACTTGCAGCAACTTCTTCACTTCCTCTGTTACAATTCCTAGGAAATGACCAGGGCCCTCTATCTCCATGGCCTATATATACTGCTACCAACAAACCGTTTCTCTCGAGCATATTATATAGTTAGTGTGCAATTATGGCTAAGCTTAATTAGCTAGCTAGCCATATAGTTTGATTAATTGTTCAGTTCGGCAGACAGGTACTTTCAGTTGCGTTCATTTTTATCTCATCTTAATTATTGTGTGTATAAATATTCGTCTAGTTAATTAGCAATCGAGCTTATTTTCAGTCATTAGTTACATATTACTGCTCGTGTAACTATTTCTGAAAATATTGTTCTTGCACGTACGCCCTGCAAGCAGATGATCGATTTTACTTCTTGGTTCTGAAGATCGATCGATGTCGGTGCGAAGGCCACGGGTAGAGGAGGAGGTCGACGACGATGATCAGGATGGGAGCAGCGGTTCGGCCGAGGAACATCAGCAGCGACGCCATGGCGCCAGGCGTCTCCGCCCTGTGCTCTCCTTCAGATCGTTAGTTCAACTCATTTCTCTTCAATTTTTTCCTCGTCAAATTTTCATGTTGATCGATCGATCACTTTGCAAGCCTCGTCAAATTTGATTACGGTTTATTGGCAAGATTCAGTTCCATGCTTCTTCTCCTGTCCATTGAGATATATAAATCATAATCTCGATCTCTTGATCACTCTGGATATGTAGAGATATGAACAGTATTGTATCTATTATATTTGCATATTATGCATGCTTATTTTAATTTAGTTCAACTGGAACTTCGAACAAATTCAATAATTACTTGAAGCGAACTGGGTGTGTGATAGTTGTGTGCTCTTTCTGCAGGGTGGTGAGAAGGGCAGTGGCAGCGGAAACAATTCAACAAATTGTTCTTAACCTGGAACCGGTCATTCGTAGGGTGGTAAGTTAATATTAATTCATCTATACACTACAACTATGCTATACAGTACAAGTATACTATAGTCACATTTGAATTCGCGATAATTTTTTAGCAATTCCCTTTCCCATGTATTAGGCCTCGATTTATTAGTCATTTTCAATGGAGAAATAATTAATGATTATTTTTCATGTGTGAGACGTTGGATTCAAATTAAGTTATTCACTTTCTGTGGATTGTAGAGAAAGCGAATTTTAATAAATTTGTCTAGAATCAATAAAACTTACATTACCTGTTATGCATCCACACATATGAATGACTATTTGTTCTTCTTGTAGTTGTATACCATTTCCTTCTCTTGTATGTGTGAATTTCATTATGCTTTTCAGTTTTTAGTGCACATATATGAACATTCATTTAACCCTTTTTCTTTTGGATGATTTTTCTTTTTTACCTTCTTAGGTGCGTGAGGAAATTCGGAACATATTTCCCCAGTATGGTCATGACTTACCACATAGGTATGGTGAAATAAAATTTCTCAATCTCTCTCTATCTCTGAAAATTAATTGCGAGGTTTTGAATTAAAACAAGATGCATATATATAGCACAAGGCCAGAGGTTAGTATAATGAAACCTTGTAAGATTACTGAAACAAATGGCAAACGTTTTTATTCTGCAAATTTGGATGTACAAAAACAAGTTTTGAGCAATACGCATGGAAATAGTACTTGTTAAACATATTCAACACATAATCTGACAATAAAACCATCTCTATCAGATCTCTTCCATTACAAATCCAAGATGTAGGGGTCTCACCTCCATTGAAGCTTGTCTTCACCAAGCAGCTCAAGCTACCAATCTTCACCAACAACAAGCTCGTCGACATCGACAACAATCCAATAGAAATCCAGCTTGTTGACACAAGGACCAACCTCATTGTAACACCATCAAACACTCACCTAGGATATTCAGCAATAAAACTGGAAGTACTTGTCCTAGATGGCGATTTCCGATACGATGAAGACGGCGCTAGGTGGACTGATGATCAATTCAGCACCGCGATCGTCAAGGCTCGGGAAGGGAGGAGGCCATTGCTAGTGGGTACAGTCAGTGTGACCATGAGCAACCATGGAGTTGCAGTGATTGATGATGTATCATTCACTGACAATTCAAGCTGGATCAGGAGCAGGAAGTTCAGAATCGGTGTGCGCGTTGTCATGCTGACAGACAGTTGCGGATTGAGGATCCAAGAGGCAGTGAGTGAGAGCTTCACAGTCAAAGATCATCGAGGCGAATGTAAGTTCGATGAACAGATCATATTAAGTACAACAATAGAAGGAACAAATTATTAATCACAGAGTTCCTTTTACCTGCAGTGTACAAGAAGCATTTCCCTCCTTTGCTGACGGACAACGTCTGGAGGCTGAGGAACATAGGCAAAGATGGGCCAATCGACAAGAGATTGGAGGCCGAGGGGATCAAGAACGTCCAGGACTTCTTGAAGCTTAACACCATGAATCCCAACAAGCTTAAAAGTGTAGGTTCTCCTGTTTCAATTTTGTTCAAACACTTTGGGGGATTATAGTTCATAATTTGTATAATACAAATTATTTCTGCTTTAATTTGTTCTGTTGTGCACACACTGTTCAGCTTGTTGGCATGTCAGATCGGCAGTGGAGCGCGACATTGAAGCAAGCAAAATCATGTGACATGGGAGGGAAATGCTATGTTTTCAAATCTGAAGGTTGTGAGATTAAATTCAACCCCGTAGGAGAGATCTTAGCAGTGAGATTCGGCGGTCGGATGTGCTCTTTGCATGAACTGCTTCCACACCAAATGGTAACTTCCTTCATTCCACCAAATTAATTAATCCCTGTATGGTCAATGAAATTTGATTGTCTTACTAATTTCTTAAGATTACCTTAAATTTGCTTTGATCTCAATTGCAGGTCCAAATCAAGCAATTGGTCAGCCAAGCATACCAACAGTGGGATCAGATGGAGGAAGTGCAGAATGAGATGGCACTTGTTGATAAAAGCTTAATTCCATTTCATGATGAAAAGCCCATGATTTCTTCAGGCATGCCAAGTAATGAAATTGCTGTAGCTCCCTGACTTTGTCAGCTTTATTTTTAATTTCAAAAAAGCATGCATTGATTCCTTGGACCTTATTATTTGCAGGCTATATCAATCAAGCAGAGGGATTGATGGAGAATTCAGGATGGGAGCCAAGTGAGATGAGCCAGGAAAGCATGATCAGCTCTGCATCTCAGAATGCCATGTATGTTGACAGCTTGGGAACTGCAACAACCTCAACTGCTGAAATGGTGACCAATAACATCAGCACTCTAGAACCTGCATCAACTGTTCCAGATTCTGCTTTGTACAGCTGGAATTCGGGCATGGCTGCTGATGATCACTTCAGCTGGCAGAACAACACAAACCTTGTACCCTGGGATCATGCTAATTGATCATTGCTATCTGGAGTCCGAACAAATTAATCCTAATTGCTATCGGTTTAGATAGCTAGTGTTGTTATGCTTTTACTCAAATAATAAATATGTTCATATTGAGGGAGCTGTTTTTTTTTCTCTAATCTTAGGTTGTTTGGCTCTTATCTTTTCTTAACCTTGATGAGTGCATTTTGTAGCAATATCTACTGGTCAAGTTAGTTATTATGAAAAAAAAATAGAGGGTCACATACGTCTTCCCTATTAATTAATGCAATACTGGTAGCTCGTATATACTAGCACTGGTGGAGAAACCATCTTTCGTCGGTCGGGCTAATTCCACAATAGTCCCAGTTGCAACAAAAAGGGTAACGGGCATATTTGATATTTGATCATCTTTAGTCCCGGTTCAAATGCTGTCAGGACCTGTCAGGCCCCCCCCCGGTATCTTTAGTCCCGGTTGGTAACACCAACGGGGACTAAAGATTGTAACTTTAGTCCCGGTTGGTGTTACTAACCGGGACTAAAGATCCCGGCGATCTTTAGCCCCGGTTCATAACACCAACCGGGACTAAAGTCCCACCCCTATATATATGTCTTCTTCCTCCTCCAGCCCGAGCAAGCTTCAAAATTTCTTCAAAAAAGAGGGGAGGTCATGCCAAAATTTCTAGTGAATTTATTTTGGTGATTATATACAAATCGGAGGTGCCTAAAAGGTTAGCAACTTTATCCTCCAATGTTTTTTTTTCATATTACATTTGGAGCTATGTTTTGCACACTTTTTTGTCTCCAAAATTTTGTTGTTAGTTGATGAGAGAGAAAATTTGTGTGGAGAAGAAAGAATATATAGAAATTTAGTTTATTTGCTAAAGAAGGTTTTATAAAATAGCTGAGAAGGAAAATATAGTGAAAGTTAATCTTGAATAATAGAAAACAAAGTAAAATGAAAAATTAAAATAAGTACAACACATTAATATTAGTTTAAAACTTTATAAATAGTAAATATATAATTATTCAGTGTAATATTTCATAATTTTTGTATGAATAATGATATGTCATTATTGTGTGACTGTTGAAAGAGTTTGTAATTATTTTATAATTATTGTATGACTGTCATTATTGTACGAATAATTATGTGTGTACGATTTTTTTTCATATCATGTAGATGGATCGGCAATGGATGTATGCTGACCGTCGGTCCAAAGAGTTTATTGATGGTGTGCATTATTTTTTGAGAGTGGCTGAAGCTAACAGGCAAAAGGGTTTTATTTGTTGTCCATGCAATAAGTGTAAGAATCGGAAGGAGTATTCTGCATCCAGGACTATTCATTTCCACTTGTTTGAGTCGGGGTTCATGCCAAGCTATAATTGTTGGACATCCCACGGAGAGCAAGGTGTTGAAATGGAAGAAGATGAAGTGGAAGACGACAATATTCCGGACTTTGCTCAGTACGCTGGATTTGAAGGAAATAAAACGGGTGAGGAGGAAAGGGATGCTGATGGTAACAACGTTGCGGATGATCTTGGTTAGATGTTGCAGGACGCCAAGGAGGATTGTGAAAGTGAAAAGGGGGCCCATAAATTGGACAAGATGTTAGAGGACCACAGAACGTCGTTGTACCCAGGTTGCGAGCAGGGGCACAAAAAGTTGGATACCACTCTGGAGTTCTTGCAATGGAAGGCAAAAAATGGTGTTAGTGACAAGGCATTTGGCGATTTATTGAAACTCGTCAAGAACATTCTTCCGGAGGTAAACAAATTGCCCGAGACAACGTACGAGGCTAAGAAGATAGTCTGCCCTCTAGGACTGGAAGTTCAGAAGATTCACGCATGTCCGAATGATTGTATCCTGTATCGCGGTGAGGAGTACGAGAACCTAGAAGCATGCCCCATTTGCAAAGCACTACGATACAAGATTAGACGAGATGATCCAGGAGAAGTTGACGGGCAGCTAACGAAGAAAAGAATTCCTGTTAAGGTGATGTTGTATTTCCCTATAATACCACGGCTAAGGCGTTTGTTCAGGAACAAGGGGAATGCTAGAATGATGCGATGGCACGCTGAAGAGCGTCAATAGGACGGGATGCTGAGACACCCCGCCGATGGTTCGCACTGGCGAAACATCGACAGAAAATTTAAAGACTTTGGAAAGGACGCACGAAACATACGGTTTGGTTTAAGTACGGATGGCATGAATCCTTTTGGAGAGATGAGCAGCGGCCATAGCACTTGGTCCGTTATGATGTGTATCTACAACCTCCCCCCGTGGCTATGCATGAAGAGGAAGTACATAATGATGCCGATTATAATTCAAGGCCCCAAGCAACCTGGTAACGACATCGATGTGTACCTAAGACCACTGGTCGAAGATCTTAAACTGTTGTGGAAGAAGGAAGGTGTCCCCGTGTGGGATGAGGACAAACAGAAGGAGTTTAACCTACGAGCGCTGCTGTTCGTAACCATCAACGATTGGTCTCACCAACTGGGACTAAAGATCCGGGGGTATATATTCCCGGTGCGCCCTCGTCTTCTCCACCAACACTTAGACGTTTTTCGATCTCGGCTTCTCCTTCGCTGCCACCGTGCCTAGGGCAACCCCGCGCTGACACCGCCGTCGTCTCTCGCCGTCGCTTGGCGGTCCTCGCCGCCTCCGCCGCAGACTCCGCCGCCGCATCTCTTGGGTGAGAGCCACCGCTGCCTCTCTCTCTCTCGATCTCGATCTCGATATATCTCTCTCTCCACGGCCAACGACCGACTTCGACGCGGCCGCCGCCGCCGACGGCGCCACCGCCACTGCCACTCCGCCGCCCCCGCCTCGAGCTCGCCACGCCGCCGCGATGCCACGCCGTCGCCACTGCCACTCCGCCACCACCGCCTCGAGCTCGCCACGCCGCGGCCGCCGCGCGCCGCTGCCGCGCCCCCACGCCGCCGGGCCCCGACGCCGCCGCCACGCCCGCACGCCGCCGGGCCGGCCCACGGCGCCCCGACGCCACCGCCGCGCCGCCACGCTACTGCCGCGCGCGCCCAACATTGCCGACCGTTAACGAACGTGATTGAAACGTGACCGAACGCGAACGAACGTAACGAAACGTTAACGAACGCGAACGAACGTGCACGAAACGTTAACGAACGCGAACGAACGTGAACGAAACGTTAACGAACGCGAACGAGCGTAACGAAACGCGAACGAACGTAACGAAACGTTAATGAACGCGAACGAACATGCACGAAACGTTAATGAACGCGAACGAACGTGAACGAAACGATTACGGAACGCGAACGAACGTGCACGAAACGCTTACGAACGTGTATGCACTTGTACTAAAAGTGTGAGAACGAACGCGTTTATACTAATACGATTTACTGGTAATACATATATGATTATATATGTAACTTGGCCCGTTTAGACTAATACATTTTCCTGATAATGTTGCAGAGAAGACATCGTCGTCGTCCCTCAAGCCGAAGTGGTAGCTAGCCATCGAAGGAATTCGCGCAGGCAAATGATGTAAAGAAGTGATTGTTAGATATTTAATATAAGATTGTTAGACTTAGCATATATGATTATTACAATTTTAATATAAGATTGTTATCGATTTAATATAAGTTTGTAACACTTAGCATATATGATTGTTAGAGATTTAATATATTATTGTTAGACTTATTATATATATGTGACTATTACAATTTTAATATAAGATTAGTAGCGATTTAATATGAGATTAGTAGAGATTTAATATAAGATTAGTAGCGATTTAATATAAGATTGTTATACTTAGCATATATATATGATTATTACAATTTTAATATGAGATTAGTAGCGATTTAATATAAGATTGTTAGACTTAGCATATATGATTATTACAATTTTAATATAAGATTATTAGAGATTTAATATAAGATTGTTAGAGATTTAATATAAGATTCTTAGAAGTAGCATATATATATGATTATTACAATTTTAATATAATATTAGTAGCGATTTAATATGAGATTAGTAGAGATTTAATATAAGATTAGTAGCGATTTAATATAAGATTGTTATACTTAGCATATATATATGATTATTACAATTTTAATATGAGATTAGTAGCGATTTAATATAAGATTGTTAGACTTAGCATATATGATTATTACAATTTTAATATAAGATTATTAGAGATTTAATATAAGATTGTTAGAGATTTAATATAAGATTCTTAGACTTAGCATATATATATGATTATTACAATTTTAATATAATATTAGTAGCGATTTAATATGAGATTAGTAGAGATTTAATATAAGATTAGCAGTGATTTAATATAAGATTGTTATACTTAGCATATATATATGATTATTACAATTTTAATATGAAATTAGTAGCGATTTAATATAAGATTATTAGAGATTTAATATAAGATTAGTAGAGTTTTAATATTACGGTTAGCAAATACATCCTATATACCTAACAAGTATTTTTTGTATGCACAGATGGCTGATCGCGATGAGGAACAGATACTATACGATACAATCGCAGAGAGAAGCAGCCAGTACTGGAACGAAGAAGAGGGGAACGAGGATCCAAACCAGTACTTGAACGAGGAGGGGAACGTGGAGAGGGATGCGGAGGGGAGCGAGGAGGGGAACGATGAGGAGGAGGCTAGTGGAAGTCATCCCTCCGCTGGACAGAAGAGGGCACTCGGACAACGAGGTGCCGCGAAGAAGATAGAGGGTCGGCACATCATAACTGAGGTGGACGAAGACGGCCGACCTAGTGCCTCGGCAGAAGCAGCCAAGAATTTTGTACGCCACAGCGGTTGGGTTGTGAGGGACAACGTGCCTGTCAGCACGGTGTACTGGCACAGAACAAGGGCACGCAGGGATAATGACAGCTTTGTCCCGGACTCAGAGAAAGAGATGCTGTGGACCACAATGCTTGAGACGTTCACGCTACCCGCGGGTACGGAGAACATAGTGAAACAGTGGACTCTGAAGAAAATGGCGGAACAGTTCCAGAGCTTCAAGGGAGATCTCTACAAGAAATACATCCTGAAGGGACTAACACCGAACTTCGACGTATTCCCAAAGCTAAGGGATCATTGGGATGAGTTTGTTGCTTACAAGACAGGGCGACAAGGGCAAGCGATGATGGCCAGAAACAAAGAAAATGCCGCCAAGAAGAAGTACCATCACCACTTGGGGTCAGGCGGATATAGCGTCGCAATGCCGAAGTGGGAGGAGATGGAGGCAAGTTTGATTGAGAGGGGTA